CGCTCTAGCCCCGCATCCCATCCTCTTCGTCTCACCCGTCCTCCTGCTGCACCCATTCCTCTACTGCAACGTTCTCTCCCCCTTCATCCTGCCCCCTATCCCCGCCCGCTCCGATCCCAACCGCCCTCTTCGCCCTCCGTAGCCCGCGGCGCTCGACCGAGGGAGAAGGAGAGAGAGAGAGAGAGAGAGAGAGAGAGAGAGAGAGAGAGAGAGATCCCGCCGCTGCCAGGAGACCCTGACAGCGATCCTGGCCCACAAGCACACCATCTACCTGGGCTACTTCGGCCGCGAGGCGCTGAAGCCGGTCACCGTTTGGACTACCCATAGCTCTGAGACCTTTGCTTTTTTCTGCGCCCCCTCTAAAACGGAGGCCTGGGGGGCGATGCGGAGTCGCGAGGGGGCCCGGCCGAAGAGGCTCTACGTCCTCCAGGAGCGTCAGAAATCGCGCTCTGGCTCGAGCTGGGGCGATAAGCTGTGGGTCACTGGTAACAAGAAGGACGGGGCCCAGAGGCGCTCCGAGGAGTATCCTCAACAGTTTTGCGAGGCTGTCGCAACTGTTGTAATCTCGGACTTGGCCTAGGTTTGCTGGCTTTGCGTATCTTAATGGAAGTGGCCCCTCCCCCGTGAACATTGGTTTTGCGGTTGCGGTCATGAGCCTAGAATGGGCTAGAGCGCCCGTGGCACCAGAGCAAACCATTGCCAAACTAGAATTTCAAGGCGGCGAGGCCGCCTGCATCAGAGCGCACTTGCATTGCATCTCTCCTGCTCTTCCTCGGTATCACCCTGGCCGGTTCCTCACTCCCCATCATCGTCCTCTCCCTGCCCCCCCATCCCCTCCCTCCCCCTCCTCCCTCCCCCCCCCCCTCCACCATTGCCCATCCTGCCAGCCTCTTCCAGTCCACCCCTCTCCCTCCCCTTCCAACGGAACCCCTATCTTGCGTGCGTCCGTGCGTGCATGCGCGCGCGCCAACGTGTGTATGCGTGCGTGCGTGCGTGTGTGTGCGCGGATGCATGCGAGTGCGCACGCATGTATGCATACATGTAGAAAGAGGCACAACATCCTCCGATCGACATCTCATGATCTATGTGCTTCCGCTCTCTTGCGCTGCTCGTTCCTGCTGCCCCGTTGGACGGCGCTGGATGCGCTCCCGCCTGGCCGGTCACGCGCGGCAGCGTGCATGCAATTATTTAATTATTTTAGACGCGACTGGTTTAGAATGGTCTGGCGCGCCAAGGGGTGGGCGAGCAAGGGGGCAAGTGGAGGGCGGAGAGGTGAATGGGGGGGGGGGGTGGCGGGGATGGAGGAAGAGACGGAGCGCAAGCTCCGCCACGGTGGCCAGGCCATTCGGATCGCTCGCAGCGCGCGATGTCAGGGCGTGTGCAAACACGCTCGGCCGAGTTTCAATTGAGCTCTCCAGCTGGGGCGGGTAGAGGCGTAAGCCATCCAGTCGTGAAAGGGGCGAGCTAGGTGCACGGAGAGAGAGAGAGAGAGAGAGAGAGAGAGAGAGAGAGAGAGAGAGAGAGAGAGAGAGAGGGAGGTAGGGGAGAAACACAACAGATAAATAGCCATCGCCACAAAACAAAGAAGGGCGGGGCAAGAAGGCGAGTGGGGGAATAGAAACGAAGAGGGGCATGTAGAAAAGGAGTTTGGGCACGGGGAAGGCGCGAGCAGACCTGGAAACAAAATCCGAATCGGTGAACGCGAGAGATAGGTATATACACACATAGATGCACACACATACAACATGAGCCTGTTGGTATCAGTATGTCCGCGCATTCACACACATCACATCATATGATGTTATACTTGTGCGTACATGTGCGCATGGTCTATCTTATGTTTATGTTACTGCAGAAGGAGAAAGGGATGAGTGGAAGATATAGAGAGGGAGAGAGAGACAGAGAGAGATGGAGGGAGGGAGGGAGGGAGATAGAGATAGAGATACCCCGAAGACTCCTCAGCGATGCGACGACGACTGCGACGATAACGACGTCGACGACGAAGGGCACTACGCTTGCACACCCCAAGCTCTGGGAGGGGCGCGCGCTGGCTGGCCGGCTCGACTGGCGCGCCGAGCTGGCGGTTTGCGTAGACATGTGAGGGGATCGGTCCTTCGTCGACCTTCGGCGTCAACGTCGACGTCGTCGTCGTCTGTCGTCCTCTGTCGTCGTCGTCGCTGCCGCCGTCATCGGCGACCACGTCGTTGTCGTCGTCGTCGTCGTTGCCGCCGTCGTCGCCCGTCGTCTGCCGTCGTCGCCGACGCCGCCGCCGTCGTCGGCGCCGTCGTCGTCGTCGTCGTCCTTCGGCCTCGTCGTCGATCGTCGTCGCCGCCGCCGCCGTCGGCATCCGTCGTCGTCGTTGTCGTGGTCGTCGCCGTCGCCGTCGCCTCCGTCGTCTGACAGCCTCTTTCGCCGTCGTCGCCTTTCGCCATCGTCGTTCGGTGCGGACCCCGCGCTTCTCCCAGCTCATTTTTTAGCGTTGTATCTAACATGGCGGTCCCGAGCTGGAACAGAGTTTTTCCACGTGCCAAGGCGACGCACGGGGGATCTAACATATGGTGGTCCTGAGCTTGCTACTGCGTGTTTTCACGTGTCCACGCCACCCATGGGGGTATCTAACATGGCGGTCCTGGTCCACACAGGAGGGCATCTAACATTGTTGTCCCGAGCTCAAACCACGCGTACGCCCTCCAGGATCATCGCGGCCGATTTGGCCAAGACGCAGGTGCCTCCCCCTGCAGTGTCCACGAATCCTTGCCTTCTCATTCGATCTGCAATCGGCTCCGATGCCCTCCGCGGCCCCTGTGGGGCGTCCGATGGTCTTGCATCCTTGCGCGTCTCGGGGCTTCGACCGCCCCTTCGACCGCCCTGCTCGCCCTCGCTGGGGCCCCCACCCCTCGATGGTAGCAAAGTTGTTTTGGCTCAAAACGCGTTCGGCTCCAGCGAGCCGCCGCCCTCGGCCCCCACTGGAGTTCTCGCCTCCGCCGAGGCCCAGACGATCGCGATGGAGGCCATGCCGATCATGCAGTCTCCGCGCGGACAGGGCGCCGCGCCCCGCACGGGCGCCTGGGCCGACAGTCCGCAGCCCTCGCCCGACATCGCCTCTATGCACGTGCTGCTGCCCGAGTGCAACACCTGGGTTGTCATCGACGTCAAGCGCGACGCCGCGGCGGCTAGCTTCTCGGAGGCGGCCGGCAGTCGGGTTCGGGTCGGCGCCGTGGTGGGCGAGTTGGCTCTGAGGGTCAGTTTGTTCAAGGCCACCCCTCACGTAAAAATCTTCAAGTGCTCCGCGAACACGCCTCACGGCCCTGCCCTGGACTACGATGCGGACGCGGTCTACTTCCTGACGTGGCTCGTCGCCTTCACGGCCGAGGCTGAGATCGAGCACGAGGCCGACAGACACGTGATCTTCTTGGACGAGCGGATTGAGTGGAAGAAATACGTCACGCCGCCAGACACCAGCAATCTGATGAGGGTGCTCGTCTACATCGAACCGTGCGACGCTTGGGAAACGATCTGGATCTTCAATAAGGCGGCGGTGACTGACGGAGTTGCCTTCACCAAGATCGGCGACCTGAAGAGCGTCGTGCTGTGCTTCATGACCGTGGGCGAGAAGATGACGCTGCATGACCACCCGACGGACCTCCTGGAGATCAAGGAAGCGCTTGGCAGCAGCCCGCACGGAGACGAGCTTCATGATGCACGTGGGGTGTACGAGAACAAGTGGTACGACATCACGGCCTTTGGACTTCAGACCGTGCTGGACAAGCTGGAGTTGGACGAGAAGCTGAAGTCTGACGTGCAGGACGACATCCAGTGAGTTGCAGTACGCTGCATGGCGACTTACACTAAGTCGCACTTTGATGCTCGACGTGCGTTCCTGTGGCCAGAGATTTCGGTACACTGTACTTGTCATGTATATAGTTCTCTGGCCATTCGGCGTGCAGCTAAGAGCAGACCGAACAAGAGATAATGAAGCCTGCGCTGGCTTCGACAGCGTGATGAAAATTAATTGGCAAGCAACCGAGACAGTGATCGATGAAGCTTGCGATGGCGAGGGGAACAGGTAAACCACATAGCATATCATAACATAACACAACACAGCACTGCACAGCCGATCGCGTAGCATAGCATGGCGTAGCCTAGCATATCAGAGCATATATAGCATAACATTTCAAATTATATAACATATGACATCAACAACCTTTAAACAACAACATACCGATCTTACAACCATCATATCATCGATGATATCGAAGATCCCTTCTTAACCTAAGATCGTCAGGACCTGTGGGTTACCCGCCCCCAATGATTTCAGGTGATCTCTGGAGGTTTTTTCTGAAGCGTTCTATGCACAGCGCGACCAAGCGGCATTGTAATCGATTGGTGCAGCGCTTTCTTGAAGTGAAGGGTGCAGGGGAGGGGGGGTGGCTGGCGAGTGGAGGGAAGGGCGGGGGAGGAGAGGGGAAGGATTGAGGGAAGGGTGAGGAGAGGGGGCAGGAGAGGGGAGGGATAAGTGGGAAGGGTGAGGAGAGGGGAAAGTTGAAGAGAGGGAAAATGAGAGAGAGAAAGAGAGAGACGGAAGAGCAAGGCCCCGAGACCTCCCATGGCCTGCGGAGCGCCCTGGAGGCCCACAAGACGCCAACCCGCTCACTCAGACGAGCATGCAGATGTCGCTTGAGTTCCAGTATGCCGAGATTGCGGAGCAAATCCGCCCAAGTTGTTGGGACCGATGTTTTTGGACGCCCCAGGCCCAACAAGGCCAAAGGCGTCCAAGAAAAACTCGGTTCGCAAGTGGTTTCTCGCCGCACCCCCTTCCCCCGACATTTCCGCAAACAACAAGCCGCTGAGAAAAGGCGGGGAATTCGGGCATACACCCCCAGCGGGCTATTCGGACGCACCCCTATCGAAGATGGACTTTCCGCTATCGTGTATCCCCGAGTCGGGCCCAAAATCTTCGATCCATTCGAAAACCCCGGCTACCGTTCCTCGAGCGAGAGGTGCTGGACCTGCCGTCGGCGCCGCCGGTGGAGCTGGGCGACGACGACAGCTCCGACTCCGACGCGGAGCCCGCGGCCACCCGCGGCACGAGGCAGCCCGTGCAGGCCGGGCGCCGGGGCAACGGTGACGACGACGGCAACGGCAGCGTCCACGACAACGACGACGTCGTTGAGGCCCAGCGTGGTTCGAGGAATGATGCTGCTGAGTCTAGTTTGGCCTGTTCTGCCTCTTGGAGCATCTTGATCGCGATGGCCGGACTTCGGAGCGGGCTGGGGATCTGAGGTAGCCCGGCATTGTTTCTGGCGAGCAGGAAGGGCGGGCGAGGTTCGAGGCGCTGGGTTCGGGGAGTTTCTTGTTGTGTCAGCCTCTGGAGGCCGTTTTCGGGCGTCGGGATAGTGAAAAGGTGATCCGGCCCAGGAGGGATCCCGGGACCAATTCTGAGCGGATTTGGCTTCATCCCAGTAACTGGCTCATCTCCTAGTACCTCAACAAGTTCAGACCCCACGGCCGCCTCCCAAGCTTGGCCCTTTCTATGTACCTCTTCGAACGTCCTGATCGCGACGCCTGGACTCCAGGCCAAATTCTGGCCAGATCGCACCCAGTAGAGGCCCGGGGGTGCGATTTTTGATCCTCGGAGTCGGACCCTTTGCGTTGTGGAAAAATCTCCCGACGGAAGGTCCTTGCCCCGCTTGGGGTGAAGAGCCGGTCCCAGGCTCGAGACTTCCGCGTTTCCACACTAAGCGCTGGGACGGGTAAAGAGAACGTCGTCGTGAGTGCAGGTTCGTTGCCATCTTCTACCTGCTTCTCATTGGTCGGGTGCACCCCGAACTAGTGCCAGGAGGCGGCCCGAGGCGGCTGCCCCTGCTGACGGGGTTACTAACTCCATTGGCATCGCTCGGACGTGTGCAGTTGTTCCCGGCGAGGACCATCGAGGATCAGCTTGGCTCATGTTGCAGCACACAAGAACGCACGAAACCGAAACATGCACGGGGAATGTGCGTCCGAGCGGTGGCAAGGGGGGCCTGGCCTGGATGTTCTAGCTTGGGCAGCTCTCCCATGTCTACACGTACCAAGAACGTTCCCTGTTGGCGTAGTTAATCTCCCCGTTGTTGTTTCGACTCGCTCTCCGAGCGCCCTGTCCTGGTCCCCCTTGGTCAGCAGTTGCCTCGCGGAGTTCCCTTTCCATTGCCCTTGGCAGCATGCATACTAGCGATCTCTTCTTCTGCCCGAAGACGCTATTCCGAACTCCCCAGGCGATGACACTTCTACGCCTTGGCAGCATCGATGGCGGTCACGTTCGAATGAGTGTGTGGGACAATTCCGCTTGATTCTTCAGGTGACGGTGAGTCTACGCCTGGCAGCACGCGAGGAGGAGGAGGTTTAGTTTGGATGCCCATAGGGCGCGGGATAGTTTATACCACGTGAGAGTTAGAGGTAAATGAGAGACAGAGAGATGGGAGAGAAACAAACAGACGGACACAGGGAGAGAGAGAGAGAGAGAGAGAGAGAGAGCGAGAGAGCCAGAGAGCCAGAAAGAGAGAGAGAGAGAGAAAGAAAGAAATAATGAGAGAGAGATGAAAAGAGGAGTGAAGAGTGAAGAGGAATGATGGGAAGGATGAGGGAAACGGGCAGGAGGCAGAGAGGTAGGCAGGAGACGAGAGTGTTGAGGAGAAGTCGCAAGAAACCTCAGCATGTGGAGATCCCTGGTGGTCTCCTGAGGGCTCCATGGGCCCTCCAACACACCAAGAGGGCCAAGCGTTTCCAGAATACCTCGATCCTCGCAGTTGGATCTTTGAGGAAATGGGAGAGACTGATCCGAGGACATACTCAGTACATATCCACTGCACAGGGATGCGTTTTCCCAGGACCCCAATAGCTGGTGCATGACGATCTCCTCGCCCGCCCCCCCCTGGGAGCCCGAGGATGTCCATGTATCCACTACCTCCCGGGGTCCTGGGTCATCACTGTCCTTGGACGGTAGATGTGTGTCGCTTCCAGCCTCCGAGACGAATGAACGGTGTAAGTTCCGATGCTTCTGTGGCCGACGCAGCAGAGTACGGTCGGTTCGTGTCGTGTCGACGAGGCGACGACCCCAGCGCAGGCGTCAAACATTGAGCGCTCTGGGCCAGAGCCGGCCAGCATCGAACGATCCGCGCCATCCGAAAGCTGCGATCGCTCAAGGTTGAACGGATCCAGGCGGTGTAAAGAACCAGGGGCGCCGTCGTCTCGACACGAGCCAGCCGCACCAGCATAGCAAGACGCATGCGGAGCCTTAGGCTTGTTTTTATGGAGGCCTTGAATTTTACCGAAAGGTTGATTTTTGGCGGTCAGCTGCCACTAGCGGCGAATAGGGGGTGACTGGGGGACGGTTGGCGCGGGGTGTGTGCCTGTGTTTGCCGCGAGCCGGTCGCCGCCATTCGCCGCCAACCCGCCAACAGTTTGACTAAGATTGGTTTCCGCAGGAACGGACGTGAAGAGTCTTCGGGGAGATCCGCCGTCAGGCGCTGCCCCTCCCGCTGGAGGCGGCGGCGGCCCCCGCCGCTGCCGCGGCCCAAGCGGGCGCAGGCGGCCCCCGCCGTGGCCGCGCTCGGGCGTCCCCACCGACGCCGTGGGCGACGACGGTGACGAGGAGGAGGAGGAGGAGGAGGAGGAGGAGGAGGATCGAAGAAGAAGCAATGTCGTCACCATCAACTTTCGGAGCTCCGCGCGGATCTCTTGGATAGGCGCTGGACCCCCTGGCGGCGGCTCTGCGCGCCAGGTAGGTGGGTCCAGCGCCTATCCAAGAAATCCGAAAGTTGATGTTTATTTCAATGCTTGTGCCTCCGGAGGAGGAGGGAGGAGGGTGGGCGGGCGGGCAGCGATGAGAAACCCTAACTTCCTCGCGTTGTCCACGGCGGGATGCGTTCTGTCGTTTTCGGCCTCGGGGGGCCTTTTCTGTGTGCCGTGACCGTCAACCAATTGCTCATGATGAGCAGCCGGTCCCAGGGAAGGGGCCCACCCCTGGAGAGAAGAAGACCTACGCCCAGGGGGTCGGAAGACTCCAGGAAGTTCGACAGAGAAGGAGAAGGACGATGGTGCGGCGGAGGAGAGGGATGGAAGGGTGAGGAGGACGACGGGGATCCTTATGCAACAAGTGTACTATTCCAAAAATCTGCTGGTTTGGGTCCACTTCGAGATTTGTCGCGGCCTTTGAGTTAGCCCTCTCCCGACTGCCTGGCCCAATTCTCGCGTTCTATATGTAATGTTGTTGCGCTCGTAACAAAATTATCCTGGCGAAGGACCCAACCATATGCAAACGTGAATACCGCAGGGCAGGTGGGACGAAGTAAAAGGAATTCCCAATATGGCCACGAACCGTGTGAGGGGTGCGCCACACTGGGGCGGGGCCGCCATGCGAACCCTGCCACTGAGGCCTTCGGTGGAGCTCCCTATGTCCCTACGGGGCCACGAACCGTGTGAGGGGTGCGCCAAAATGAGGCGGGGCCGCCATGCGAACCCTGCCACTGGGGCCTTCGGTGGAGCTCCCTATGGGGCCACGAACCGTGTGAGGGGTGCGCCAAAATGAGGCGGGGCCGCCATGCGAACCCTGCCACTGGGGCCTTCGGTGGAGCTCCCTATGGGGCCACGAACCGTGTGAGGGGTGCGCCAAAATGAGGCGGGGCCGCCATGCGAACCCTGCCACTGGGGCCTTCGGTGGAGCTCCCTATGGGGCCACGATCCGTGTGAGGGGTGCGCCAAAATGAGGCGGGGCCATGCCAGCTGCGAACCCTGGGGCCCGCCATGCGAACCCTGCCACTGGCCTTCGTGGAGCTCCCTATGGGGCCACGAACCGTGTGAGGCGGTGCCGCCAAAACTGGGGGTGGAGCGGGGCCACGAACCGTGTGAGGGGTGCGCCAAAATGGGGCGATGCGAACCCTGCCACTGGGGCCTTCGGTGGAGCTCCCTATGGGGCCACGAACCGTGTGAGGGGTGCGCCAAAATGAGGCGGGGCCGCCATGCGAACCCTGCCACTGGGGCCTTCGGTGGAGCTCCCTATGGGGCCACGAACCGTGTGAGGGGTGCGCCAAAATGAGGCGGGGCCGCCATGCGAACCCTGCCACTGGGGCCTTCGGTGGAGCTCCCTATGGGGCCACGAACCGTGTGAGGGGTGCGCCAAAATGGGGCGGGGCCGCCATGCGAACCCTGCCACTGGGGGCTTCGGTGGAGCTCCCTATGGGGCCACGAACCGTGTGATGGGTGTGCCGAAATAGAAGCATGCGGAGGGTGATGGTGATGATGACGACCATGTTGGTGCTGATGATGATGACGATGACGATGACGATGACGATGATGATGATGATGATGATGATGATGATGATGATGATGATGATGATGATGATGATGATGATGATGATGATGATGATGGTGGGTGATGGTGATGATGATGATGATGATGATGATGATGATGATGATGATGATGATGATGATGATGATGATGATGATGATGATGGCAGGAGGGAGGGGGCAGCGGGAGGAGGAGAAGGAGGGAACGCGGGGCACCGTCTCTTCAAAACGAGGACCCAACACCACAGGATGGTTGGGAAAAAGGCCATCGCGCTACGGGTTGGGGGCAACGGTGGGTCATCGAATAGGGTCGTAGGTGAAGGTGGCGTATGCCCTCCCGGTGATGGTTTTGGTACACAGTCTTTTTCTGTGGAGTCATTTTTGTACACAACCTGGCCCCGGGAAGAAGAAAAACATGATGACGACGATGGTAATGAAAAAGAGGAGGAGGAGGAACAAGATGATCAGGAGGAGGGGCAGGAGGAGGAGGAGGAACTGAGGAGGAGGACTTCGTGACGGGCGGGGGGGGGACCAACGTGGATGGGCGGATCACGCACCATCGCATCTGATTGTGTTTGGGGAGGCGCTCGTGGCGGCAGATAATTCTGGACTGTTTCCTCTGCATTCCTCTAGCGCCTATTGCGCTGCCCGTAGAGACATTGGGAGGGTGATTGGGGGTCAAATTCTGACTGGACTTCCCGAGTTAGGGATGCCGCTCCTCCATGAGACAGGCTAAGGCCGCGTCTTTGTTGCTGCTGGGAGGGGCACGGGGGCAAGGCTTCTGGAAGCCTCGGGCCATGTATAGTGAAAATGCGCCGCAGTCCCAGCAGGCTAGTAAGCAATTCTTAGGTTGAAGCTGCGAACAAAACATACATGGTATGATCCTTTACTGTCTTGAGAGGGTTGGGACAAGGCCCTGCTGTACCCTGGGCATCTCTCTGAGTCACATCGGGCCTTGGTGGCCTGAGTTAACGCTCGCGTGCAACAGACTTCGCTCATCCACTTGTCCTGAACATTTACCCAACGGTGAGAGTGCCTGCTGTGAGGCTGGGGTGTCTTGGTGGCCTCTCGGGGTGTCTTGGGGTCTCTCGGCGGCTCTTGGGGGCCTCTTGGGGCGCCTTGAGGAACTCATGGGGGCTTGTTGCAGAGTCTTGAGGGCCTCGTGGCGGTCTGCGGAACCTCTTGTTGGGGGCCTCTTTGGTGCCAGTGTTTGGACTCTTGGGAGCCTCTTGGTGGCCTCTTGGGCCTCTTGGGCCAGCCTGGGGGCCCTGTTGGGGGCTTCTTGGGCTGTTCTGAGCTAAACTGCGTGGTCGCAAGCCGACACAGGCGAGAACCTCAAAGTCCTTCAAACACCTAGGGGCAACCATTGTTTGTGCATCCTCGGGGTCTCCTGGAGGACGTCGTGGAGCCCTCTTGGGCCACTTTGGAGGCGTCGTGGGTAGTGTTGAGACAGTCTGGGAAGCCTCTTGAGTGGTTTTGGGTTATCGTGGGCCGTTTTGGTGTCATCTTGGCTGTCTTGGAGGCCATCCTGGCCGTCTCGAGGCCGAAAGGAGCGCCAGAACCGGAAGGCAAATTCGGGTGGGGGGGGACGGTTTTCAGACCACGCGCTTGGTGAGGGGGGTTGGGAGTCGGCCCTAAAAACAATGTTTCAAGACTTAACCAAACAACGAAGAGCATTTCAACACGCTTATTTCCTGCAGGCACGGTGGCCGTTATCTCGTCGGTTTTTAAGATTACGGTTGTTTGTCATATTACGCAATTTGTTTAGTTTGCATGTGTAATGTTATTGCATGCGCTAGCTGGTACGAGACATGCTTGTACCATCAAACGGTTAGCCATAGCACCAACACGATTGCGTACAATGCTTATCTTTTTGTGTGTCTGGATGTCGCAAGTGGCTAATACCGTACATCGTGGTGTCATGTCATGCGTTGGAGGAAGTTGTATTCTTGCTCGTATCCCCACCAGCCCATCTTGCAAGGATGCCCAGGCGAATTGCATTGTTCAGGGAAGGGCAGCCGTCAATCCGAAAATTGGGATCTGCCTGAGCAGGTCCAGGAGTCAACCATAGAAGAGTCTGCCAGGAGGCTAAGGGAATGCCTTCCCGGATCTTTCGATATGGGAGCTGGGAGCCTCTTGCCAGCTTACCTGGGCCATTTGGAGCCCTGTTGGGGCCAGTTTTGGTTTTGGGGTTATCTTGGAGCCCACTTGGTGGCTATCTTGGAGGTTATCTATGAAAGACAAGGAGGGTCTTATGTAGCGGCACCCAGCAAGAGTCCCTGAAGCCGAATCTTCGGGCCTCAGTTGAGCGTTCTTCGGGCGCCTTGGGGCGCTCTTGGGCCCGTCTGAGGTTCCCCTGAGGGTTTGGGCGGATTTGGGCTTCTCGGGGGTGTCCTTGGGAGGCTCGGTGGGGAGCCGTCTTCGGGCGGTCTTGGGGCCTATTGGAGCGCATTGGCAACAATAGTTGACCCTCTGGGGGTATCTTGGGCCATCTCGGGAGCCATCCTCGGTTATCGAGAGCCCCTTGGAGCCATATTGGGCCCTCTTGGACGCTCCAATTAGTCGCGAGCCCCCGCGTCCAGACCAAGTTGAACGCGCTACCCACGAGCCGCAAGCCCTCTTGCTCACTCCCAGCCGCCCTCCCAACACACAGCAGCAACCGAGTCCTCGCATGGACAGGTGCCACCATCGACAACCATCGGAACCAATGCAGACGCCAGCCAGGTGCGCGACGACCGCGAGGTGCGCCGCGCGTGCCAGGGTTCCCCAACCATCCCTGCCAGGTAACAATGCAGAATGATCGCGAGGCGCCCGCACGTGGTCCCAGTCAGTTTGTCCGCAACGTGTACTTTGCCTTGGTTTTTGCCCGGAATGGTGGCTTGCACACGTGGGACAATGTGTTGCCTCCCCCCCCCCAGGGCGTTGTCAACAAAGCAACGCAAACGAATCGTTGAGCGCCCGATCATGATCGAGATGATGCCGCAAAGTGTATGTGTTTGTTTTGACAGTGATGGCGGGGGGTTGTTCCTGGTTTGTCGCTAGTCGGGTGGGCGGTCGGAAGAGGAAACGATTTAAACCACCTCCATCCAGAGGCCCGATGAAATTTCATCTCGACATCATTCGTATGAATGTGAATTCTTCGAAATCAGTTCAAACAGCATCATTGCGTTATATGTCACAAGTGGTGCCCCAAATGTTGAAGTTTAGATTTTGATTATCATATCTACGCCGTATCACGATGCCGCGCTACCCCCTGAAGTGATTCACGTGAACCATGTGCTATGTATATCTGTGGGATCCGTGGGGTCCTAGCTTTCTCCTTGCTTGGTCTCGTTTCGTCCCTCCGCCCCCTTACTTGATCTTTCGTGCTCGTGCATCCGTCCTATTCGTTCGACTCCTTGCCACATCCTCCCTCCTTGTCACTTTGCCCCATCCATGCCCTGCACATCATCATCGATGCCCCTCACCCCACCGACTCCCCCCCACATCCTGGTGCATGTGATCGTGGTTCCTCGTCCTCCGACCTCTCCTTCCTCCACCAGGGAGGGAGAGGAAGTATGCGGAGGGGGGGAGGAGAGAATGCGTAAGGAGGACGGGGGCTGGTGAGGTGAAAGACGAGGGGGAGGATGAAGAGGAGGGGGATGATGGGGAGGCGGAGATGGAGACCAGGATGATGAGAAGGGCGAGGTAGATAAATGAGGGGGGGCTGGGGGGACCTCAGGATGGCCAAGGTTGTTGTTGCGCCGTGCCCTGTTGTCTCTAGGCCTGCTGCTCTGGCGGACGATTCTCATCTGCGTTGGGTCGTTCGTTTTCGTCGGCAGATGTGGGTGTCGTCGTCGACGATGGGGGGCAGACCGGTGGGAGTCAACACGCCATGTTTTGTTCTGACGTATGTGGCGCCAAACGAGTGTTGTTGAGACATCACTGCCACGCCGTCAGGGGAGGTGCCCCAGTCAGATATATTCTGGGGACTGACATTCCCTCGCGACCAGTTTTGAAGCAAGATTTGGGCTGCGGAGGTCTCGTTCATTTCGGTTCCTGGATTCAGGTCGTTTGACAGCATTGGGGGGGGCTCTTGCGATCACGCCGGATGCAGGTTGGTCGCAGTTGAATTGTTGCCGTTAGCAAGGACGGAAAACCTTGTACAAGGAAGAGGCGGAGGATTTGCGGGACGAGGACAAGGAGGAGAGGTCGGGGAGGGGCGCTCAACACGGAACAAGGAGGACGAGGGCAAGAGGGCAGCAGGGACACCGACGCTAATTTTCTTGGGATCTTCCTGGTTGCACAGTCCAATCATTGGGATTCGATGCGCCTCATCGGGAGCCTGCGACCTCACGAGCAGATGGGAGGGGTAGGCACAGGAATCCAGTTGCGTTCGCGCCATACGTGCTCCTCCCACCCAACGCTTCCCACTGCGTTTTCCCTTCTATCCGCCGACGGGCCGACGGATGTCAGAGCGGACGTGGAATCCCCAACGGATTCCATTGTCTCGTTCGCAATCATGACAGCGGAGTTGTGTACAGGGGAGGAGGAGAAGTCGGAGCAGGAGATGGCAGATCAGCACGAGGATAACCAGCCGGAAGCGTACGAGGATGAGGAAGGAGACGACGCGGAGGAACAGCAGCAGCAGGAGCAGGATAACGAGCGCTTGGAGGAGCAGGAGGAGCAGGGGAAGACGGATGAGGGGGACAGATGCGTCGCGACAACGACGATAGTTGTTCTTGAACTTTATTTTGCACTACCCGTCGTAGTCTGTTAGCCGCCCTTTCCCCCTCCGTCCCCCTCTGCCCCTCTGGGCTCAAGTCGGCACGGGCGAGGCCCGCAGGCGGGCCCCTCTGCGGTCGTGCCTGGGCACGGCCTCCCACCGCGGCGCCATTCCGCGGCCTTGCGCGCTCGCGGGCGCGCTGCTGGTGCTCCTGGGCCTCTCGGGCGACCTCCAGGAGGAGGCCCTGGCCGTGGGGAGCAGGTTCAGCCAGGACCAAGTCCTGGATTTCCTCGGCTTCCGCTTCGAGAGCGAGGGCGAGGACGACGTCGAGGAGGCTGAGGCGGAGGGCACCGCCTCGGTCGAGGAGGTCGAGCTCATTGACGCTGCGGAGGAGACCAAGATCCTCGGGAGCAGCCCGCTCGTCATGGGGGGCTGGGCGCAGTGGAACAGGATCTACTACCTGCCCAAGGGGCAGAGTGCGGGCGTGGTCATGCTGTTGGTCGAGCGGGTGGGGAAGGCCAGCGACCAAACGTGGACGTGTGTGGACCCGTCGCTCAGGGTGCAGACCATATGCTTGAAGGATAAGCAATCGGTGCACAGCAAGCCGCCGCGCGGCATCAGCCAGTGGACTGCTTTCCCAGGGCTGAACGACAAGACACGGGACATGGTGTTGGCGGCCTCTTCGAGGCTGATCGCGCGGAAGGAGCTGGACGCCGAGAACGTCAAGGTGGCCAAGGCCGCCGACAAGAAGAAGGGTTTCTGGAAGCTGGGCGGGAAGCGGAAGACCTCGAAGAAGGCGGGCCTGGTGAATTGGGTGTGGGCTATGTGCTCGAACCTGGTCTGCTACGGGTGGCTTCATCGCTCGTGGGGTGGGCTCGCTGGGGGTGCTTTCGCCGCCTGGCGTATCTGGGGGTATTTCCACCTGGGGCCTCTCTTCCACAGGGTTTTCGAGGCGGCGGCCGCCGCGAAGGAGACGGCGGAAGAGGCGTCCGTCTACTGGGGCCTCCTGATGGAGGCCTGGGAGCCGGGGGAGTTGGAGGCCGTGCTGATGGCGGGCGGAGGCGTGATCTTCGGGGTGTTCTTGCTGAACTACGTCTTCCGCCGGTGGCAGGGCCTCTCGGACTCCGACTCCGAGTCCGGCGTGTCCGACGGGGAGCTGATCATGGGCACCGCGGTGCCCGACTCAGACGACGAGCCCGACGCGAAGGGTCTCTATGCGGAGCTGCAGGGAGGACAGGAAGAACTACGGGCTAGGCTGATGGCGGTCACGGAGGCGCTGAAGAAGGACACGGCGGAGCCTCCGAGCAAGACTACGGGGGGTACCGTCGGGTCCGCCGACGATGCTACTCCGACGACTGCGCAGCTGGACCAGTTCATTGCCAAGTTGAATGAGCATGAGGAGTTGGTGAAGAGCGACTCGGACTGTGGTACGAGAGGCAGTGGACGTGAGGCTGGCAAGTCTGCTTCGGACTCGGACTGGGAGCGGCTGCCATCATCACCAGGGTCTAGCTCAGTCTCGGACACGATCGCTCAGCTGGAGATGGAGAGTAAAAATCCTAGGGGCGCCCTCCTGCAGACCTTGAAGAGCTACGAGCACGTCCCCAACATGCGTGTTGGGGGTGTCAGGACGCGGGTGGCCCCGACGGTGCAGAGCAAGATCTACAGGGGGGGGGGGCGGTCCGCGAAGCTCGAGGTTCAGGAGTGGCTGAGGAGCAAGGAGCTTTCAAAGGCCCCCATCGCCAACGAGATGCTGGTGCTGGCCATGACGTTGGACCGCATGCTGGTCTCAGGCGACTTCTAGGGCTTGATCAACTCCCAGGCCAGCGAGCTGACTTGCCTCAGGATGTATGCGATCATGAAGGCCTACGAGGGCGTGACCTGCGAGCACGACTGGAAAAGGCCTCGCAATGTGAGCGGGGCATAGTGGAAGTCCAAGGTCCACTGGTCGCTGGGTCAGGAGTACTTGAGGCTGACATCACATGACACCATCGAGGACACCCTCGCGGACGAGGAGGTGACGGACAAGTTGCGGAAGAGGGCGCAGATCCAGAAGCACCTGACGTCGGCGCGGGACGCAGCGCCCAGGGACGAGGAATAGGGGTGGCCCGAGGGTTCGTTTTGGAGTGGTGACCCTTGGGCAAGTCTCGCACTGCTGTGCTCACCCCTGTGGATCTGTGCTGCGTGGGCTTCGTCAGCGGGGAGATCGCCAGGTCGAGGGTGGAGCAGAAGGGGGGGCTTCCTCGGGCTCGCCGCGCGGACCCTCGCCCAACCAGTGTACGCTGGAGGGCGGGGCCTCTTTTGTTCAGGCCGTGTCTTGTATATCTCGGACCTGAACCACACCAGTGCGCTCAACCTTCGTCATGCTCCACGTGAGCAGGTGCTTTCTTTACGGCGGCGTGATGATGATGGACTTCAGGGAGCGGGGCCATCTTCGGAGTTTGCCCTCTCTTACGGGACCCCTGGCCACGCGAGCTGCGAGTTCAGGCTTTACGACGGAGCAGCTGAGGCTAACCTGGCTGCGCACTTGTCGAACGGTTCGGGTTCTACGGTCGCCGGCGGCGGGGCGTGTTGGGGCAGACGATGGGTCGACTGTCCCGAGCCCGCGGGGGGGCGCGACGGGGCTCCAGGGCAAGGTGGTCTACGACATCTGGGATCGTCGCGCCTCTCTTGGGGCGTGGGGGGGCATCGACGACGGCAAGGCGGCGCTTCGCCGTCTGCGGGGGCCCGACAGCTCGGGCTACGCAGCGGGTGGAGGGTGCGGCCACAAGCGGACTACGTCTACTACTACGTTTACCATGAAGGGCGACCTCTGCAGGGTGGTGGCGGACCACGTCTCGTTGCTGCTTCCAGGGGCCGCGGGCTTGTCTCTGACGGACCTCTCGACCACCGCGGCGCCATACCTAGAGCGTTTCGAGAGTCGGATGCTGGAGGATCCGAAGGAGGTGGGCTGGGAGAGAAACGATGGTATCAGGGTTACTCCGATCCAGGTTGGAAGGATCGTCGCACCAGGCTCACCGCGGCCATGGGGATGACGCGGGCAGGAATGGTCCAGTACGTCAGGGAGGTGAAGCGCACCGCGGGCCTTTTCTGCGTGGCCAAAGACGTGCGCGAGGACGGGCGGGACGTGATCCAGTCCCGCCTCATCTGGGGCGCGCGGAGGGTGACCTGCTTTTTCGGCGACCACCGTGGACCCCACTGGGGTCACCCTCTGCCCTGTCAGAGTTGGAGCTGACGAACGACATCTTGAAGGACCGCGCGCCTGGAAGTTTCCAGGGGGGCGTGCCCGATTGGTTCTACAGGTTGAGGTGGTCGGACGGGCTGGCGGAGTACTTCGCGCTGGAGGGGGTCGTGCCCGAGGAGCTCCACGCCTTCGCGAAGGATGCGGGGGTGGAGCTGCCAGCCCCGCCTGCGGGCGCCGCGGGCGCGGGGTCAGTGGCGCCCGTGATGGGGGCTGCCTGGGCGGTCTTCTTGGCCCACTCGGCGCTTGTGGACTGCTTCGAGTCTATGGAGGGATTGGTCACCGCGCAGATCACCTTGGGCAGGGCGTGTCCGAGTTTCGCCAGGGCCGAGCTTCTCCTGTTACTGTACATCGACGACTACATCGGCTTGAAGCTGGTGAAGGATGGGGAGGGCGTGGACCTCGAGGTCACCAAGGGCCACGTGCGGAGCTATCTGAACGCGAAGGGGCTCGCCGTGCACAAGGGGGAGGCTGGGGAAGGATTGCGGCGCGGGCTTGGGCTTACCATATCTGGACGGCCCTATACGTTGAAGGTCTACCCCGAGAAGATGAAGGACCTGATCATCTGCACCGAGGCGATTGCGGTGACCCGGTCCGTGCGACATCGGGAGCTGGCCACGGTGGTGGGCTGCTGGGCGTAGGCGATGCTGGTTTGTCGGCCTGCCTTTGCGATCCTGGACGCTTGCTACCGATGGGTCGGGGCTTTTGCGGGCGAGGGGGCCGGGAATCCGCAGCACCTCCCTGTCCCCGTGTTGGAGAGGTTGAAGGCCTTGTCATCGCCGGCCATCTTCTTCGAGGCGAACTTGGAGCTGGACTGGCACACGACAGTCTACATGACCGACGCGAGCGACGAGGGCTTCGGAGTGGTCGCGACGAAGTCAAGCGTGGAGGAGATCAGGGACGAGCTGGACCGCGGGGCCGAGCAGGTGCGGCAGATTCGAGTAGGGGAGACGCACGCGGAGATAGAGGACGAGGTGAGCGAGGAGGGCCTGGAGGAGGACGAGATGATGCACCCGAGCGAAGGACGTCTTGGTATACTCACGCTGCAGCAGGGCTTGCTGGACCTGAAGGGGGACCTCGGGGACCAGGTGCGCGCTTGGATGGAGGCCGTGCGAATGGGGGAGTTGATGGACGTGGCGGTGGTAGAGCGTCTTTTCAGCCGCCTGCGGAGGCGGTGGTATTGACTCGGCCACCTCACCTTGTTCCTGGACACCTTCTCGGACGACTACTACAGGGACTCACGCGCGCCCTGGGGCTGCGAATGGCTCAGCGAGGGCATGCAGCGCAAGATCGACGAGGACAGCTACATCGCGCAGGTGATCATCGAGGTCGCCAGGCTCGCGGTCCGCGAGGGGCTCGGCTTCATTATCTTGGGGCCCCTGGCGCTGAAGATGCTGGAGTGAGCGCCCTGGGGCAGGTTTACGAAGGCGGAGGGCGTCTTCTCCCTGGAGGTGGGCGAGCTGGTGGTGCTGACCAACCTGACGAGGCCCGTGGAGAACGATGGGCTGTGGGACGAGTTCCCGCTGACCTCGTGCGCCGCCGTCAACTATGGGGGCGTCTTTCTGGAGCACTACGCCACGAGGTTAGAGCAGCTCGACAACGCCTGGAGCGAAGTACCAAAGGGGGCGCAGGTGCAACTGCGATGGGGTCGACCTCGGGTGGTGCGGAGCAGGGGGCAGGTGATGCCCATCGGCGCCTCCTGGGTCGACGAGTCGAGGTGGTGCGAGCTCTTCAGGGGACGCTGGGAGACGGAGGAGCACAACAATGTGCTGGAGCTGCGGTGCGTGGTGAGCGCGCTGCGGCATCTGGCGAGATCTTCGAGATGCTGGCACAAGCGAGTGGTGATCATGACGGACTCTGTTGTCTCCATGGGCGTGCTGCAGAAGGGGCGCTCATCGGCGACGTCGCTTCTGAGGCTGGCACGAGTGGCATGTGGCATCGCGCTGGCGCTGGGCATCAGGGGCTACTGCCGGTGAGTGCCCAGCCAGTGGAACATGGCGGACGGCCCGAGCAGAGGTGTCGACATCGGCGCAGCGGACGAGACCAAGCAGGCGCACAGGATGAGGACGACGCCCAAGGCGGTGCGGCCGCTGCTGCAGGTGCTGGAACGGCGGAGGTGACTCGCGGGACCTTAGCGGTACGTCTGGGGCTCGACTACCTCAGCAGGGAGGCCTCGGCCCCCCAAGCGAGAACATGGCGGCCTTGGGCGCCTACCTCGGCAACGTGGGTTGCTACTGCCACCACATCGGGAGCGACGGCGACTGCGAGAAGGAGCTGCTGGGCGCCCCGCTGGGCCGCCGCGGGCGGCGAAGCTGGTTCGGCTGCGAGGAACGGCGGCAGGCTGTCCCTCTGGGTCGAGCTGGTGGTGATGCTGCATGTGGTCAACGGTGCTCGAAGGGGGGTGTCTGCGCCGCCACGCAGAAGCGCGGCGCACGCGCCTGGCAGCAGGCCAAGCAGGACCGCCCTCGGTGGAACAACAGGTTGGTGGTCCACGCCGTCGACGACTCCACCAACGTCGTCTACGAGCGGGAGGTCAGGGCCTTCCTCGTTGACTGCAAACGCGGGGAGGTGCCGTTCACGACCTTGGAGCAGAGGGGCCGCGCGCTGGGGCACAACATCAGTGACCTCTGCTACTTGAGGGGCGACAACTACATGAATGCCTCCCTCGCCTTCAATGGCTTCATGCACATATTCGAGGACCATCGAGGGAGGCTCCCGACGGCGCATCGTGCGCATGCAGTTCGGAGGTGAGGGCCACCCGATCCCGTTCCAGGCGATGGGGGTGATCATCACGAGGATGCTGGAGATGGGGCACTTGCTGGAGGCGAGTGCCTGCACTGTGCAGTTGGACGGGTGGCTTCGAGAGCAGGACTGGGAGATGCTGCGGGCCAAGCACGTCGGCTTCACGCCCGACGACGGCGTGGGCCTCAAGCTCGGCGGCCGCATGATGGGCCAGACGACCAGGACGGGCGCCAACCAGGGCGCCGTGCTGGAGTGGCCTCTGCCGAGGCTCCTGATGAAGGTGCTGGTCCAGGATCGGGAGCCTGATGACCAGGTCTTCCCCTTCACCCAGCCGAACTTCCGCAAGGTCTGGCTGAAGACGTTGAAGGCGGTGGGCCTGGAGACCATGGGGCCACCGCGCGGCATGCGCCACGCTGCGGCAGCCCGCTTCGTGGCGCTGAGCGGCGGCCTGCAGGCGGCGCGTAGGCGGGGCCGCTGGGCCTCCACCGCTGGCCTCCAGCGCAACGCCAAGTGCCGCGCGCTGGTGGAGAAGCTCAGCGAGCTAGACGGCATGCAGATTCAGCAGGGCTGCGCGTTCTGGCGCCGCCCACGACAGGCGGTGCACGACGCCGCCGTGAGAGGGCCAGGCGCTGGGACGCCGCTCGGCAGGCGCATCGTCGGGGCGCTCGCGAGCGCACGTGGCCGCGAGGTGCCCGTCGTGATGTATGGGTCGACGTAGGCCAGCTCCCTTCTCCATCTAATGAATATCGAGCCAAGTCTGGTGAGGGGTTCCTTGGGGGGAGGCCGTGAGGTTTTGAACGAAGCAAGTTGAGGTTTCTCTGCATCGCTCTCCCACCCGCCCGCGTCGCCCGTGCTCGGCAGCTTTTCTCTTGAAGGCCTTTGGCCAGTGGCCCAGTCGGGTCGGCTGGGAGGGGTAGAAAACAACTTCTGTGGTTTGAAACCTAGGTCGTAGGCTCAGGAAGCTGGCCTCGGTCTGAAGCTGTGCTCATGCAGCCAGCTCGAGCTGCGTTCTTTTTTTGAAGAATTCTGGGGTTGGCTGCCTCCTCAGCCCGCGCCCTGGTGTTAAATCGTCATGTCAGCATCGACCAGTTGTTTGTTGCAGTATGTCTGCCAGCCCTCTCGGGCTCTGCTCCGCCTGCTCCCCTCAAGGGTTTTCACCCCCTCCCCCAGCCTGGATCTGAGTATATGGTTAAGGTGTAAATCGTTGTTCTTGAACTTGGTGTTACACTACCCGTCGTAGTCTGTTAGCCGCCCTTTCCCCCTCCGTCCCCCGCTGCCCCTCTGGGCTCAAGTCGGCCCCGCCGCACCCCCCCTTTGGGGAGGGGTCGAAACAAGTTATGTGGTTTGTGACCTAGGTCGTAGGCTCAGGAAGCTGGTCTCGGTCTGAAGCTGTGCTCATGCAGCCAGCTCGAGCTGCGTTCTTTTTCTTGAAGAATTCTGGGGTTGGATGCCCCCTCAGCCCGCGCCCTGGCGTTAAATCGTCATGTCAGCATCGACCAGTTGTTTTTTGCAGTATGTCTGCCAGCCCTCTCGGGCTCTGCTCCGCCTGCCCCCCTCAAGGGTTTTCAACCCCTCCCCCAGACTGGCTCTGAGTATAGGGTTAAGGTGTAAAGGGTGGATTCGGATCCAGAATTGTGGCGCGTGCTGCGACGAGAGCGCCATTCTGAAAGACGGTCGGTCCTTTCATGAGGCGGCGCTGCAACGGGATTACCATTGAAAACGCTCCAATTGAAAACGAGCATGAAAAACAACGTCTTGTGGAATCCGATGCGCTACACAATATATGCGGGAGAAAATGGGCCTTGCCCGGCCAAGGATCTTGATAGAGTGGATGGTACTATTCGTCGGAAGTGAGGGGGCGAGATCGCATTGAAACAGAGAGACCCCCACCGGGAAATGGGTTTCGCTGTCTGGTCCGTGACGCGCGCGCGCGGGCGAGGCGAGGCTGCGTGGGCGGGCGAGAGGAATTAATTATTTGTCTCTGGCTAGGGCGCGGCGAGGACAGAAGTCCGCCCCACCCTGGCCGCGTGGCGGTCGGTGTCCGCGGGGTGTCCCGCCGTGGTGTCCCGATGTTGTTCCGTGGTGTCCCGTGGTGTGTTGCGGTGTCTCGCCGTGGTGTCCCAATGGCGTCCCGTGATCTCTCGGGCTCCCGTGGTGTCCCGCGGTGTCCCGCAGTGTCCGGTGGTGTCCCGTGATGGTGTGTGCGTGTCTTTTGGTGTCCTTTGGTGTCCTGCGTTCTCCCGCCGTGGTGTCCAGCAGTGTCCCGTTGTGCCCCATGGTGCCCCGTGCTGTCCCGCAGTGTTCCGTGGTGTCTCGTGAGATCGATAGTTATGTCGATTGTGAGATGCATATTGGGACGGTTAATGGGATCGACAGTTTCGTCGATCGTGGGATCGATGGTAAGCTTGATTGTGAAACCGATAGTGCGATCGATAGTGAGATCGATCGTGGGATCGGTAGCGAGACCTATATCAAGATCGAACGTGATATCGATATTGAAATCGAACGGTAGATTAATAGAGAGATCGGTTGTGAGATCGGTAGTAGTGAGATCGAGAGTGAATTCAAAAGTGATACCGATTGCGAGATAGACACTGGGATCGATGGTGAGACAGATAATGGCGTCGGTTCTGAGATCGAAAGTGAGATCGGTATGGACATCGATCGTGAGATCGATTGTGAGATCGGTAGTGTGGTCGATAGTGAGACCGGCATCGACATCGTGATATCGACATGTGAGATCCAGAATGAGATCCCAAGCGACATCGATTGTAAACAGATACTGAGGCCGATGGTGAGACAGATAGTGGCCTCGATGGTGAGTTCGACAGTGAGGTTGATAGCGAAGTCAAAAGTAAGATCAATCGTGCTATCGATTCTGAAATCGGTTGTGAGATCGATCGTGCATGATATTGATAGTAAGATCGATAGCGAAATCGATTGGTTGAGACGTTGGTTCCCTCCCTTCCAAAAATGCTTATCACCCGAAGGGTGGTCGTGTATGTACGAGGGGCGAGTGGAAAGGAGGAGCGGCGTGCAGGTTGAGGGAGGGACAAGGAGGTTGAGTAGGAGAACGTCAAGGAAAAGATGAGGCGGACAGCGGTCGTGTTGGAAGCACGACAGAGCGAGATCCATGCTCACATAGCCAACAAGGTGCGTGCGGACAGATTCTGTTTTCGCATATCCTTTTGTCCGCATGTTTCCCGAAGTCCTGTAGGACCTCTAAGGCGCCCCCACATTCAATGAACAGCAGGAGTACGGATGCAGTGTTCCATGCTAGCTGCTGGTTCATCACCGCCTGCTCGGCCCATCCAAGCCTGGTGGGCCCGCCTTCGATTGTTCGGCCCACGTGAGTCTTGTGCGGCCAAAGGCCCTTGCCCCATTCCCTTGTGTTCCTTCTTACTATGGTTTATCGGGAGCATGTCTGAACCATACCTTCCCTTTTTCTTTCCTAACCCCCCTCAGGCGGCAGAATGCGCAAGCACGAGCCGGAGGCCAGACTTGCCGAGGACCCTCGGTGGTCGGGCTATCGAGTTCGTCTTTGTCGTGCGGCGGGGATGCGCGTGTACCACGTAGGAAGAAGACAAGAACGAGGAGTAGGGAGTACGAGGGGCGTAGCTCTTTAGTCTTTGAAGGGACTCTAAAGATTGAAACGTAGCCTCAAAGGTTTTGAGGTGTCCCAGGGGCTCGAGGATGGCGCATGCGGAAGGGAGGAGTGAGGACGAGGCTCGGATCGGGCGAAAAGGGGGGGTTGGGAAAGGGGGGGGTACGAAATCTGCTGCATGTAGCTGGTTTCGGCCCCACCGAGGGGCCCGTTCCTCGATACATAGCCGCCTCCGGCGCCGGGATGCGCCGGGAAAATCAGCTATGTGAGCTGATTCTCAAACCCCTCTTTGCTATCCCCCCCTTTCGCCCGGCCCGAGAGGCGGGGACAGATGCGGTCAATGACAAGTGGTTGGTTGCAAATAACAAGTACTATCTGTGTTACTGTCATGGTGTTGCTGATACTGCTACGGTATTGGTACATGTGTTGATCGGTAGTGACGATGATACCGAAAACAAGCACGCAAGCACGGATAATGATGAACATGTCGATGCGGACAAACATAAGGGTGATAATTGTGCAGACATGGCAACAGGAGAACGAAGGCGGAGTCCGAGGATGAGGATGAATTGTTGGGAGGAACAAGGGAACGCAACGAAGTGGGATGAGGCTGGGGAGGGCAACGTAGCACGGAGGGAGATGGGTGCAACCTAACAGGAGGGCGAGGTGTGGCAGTATCTGAATAACCAGCAGAGACGGAGCACAGTGATAATACGAGAGGAGGATGAGGAAGCAGAAGAAACATGAAAACGAGAGGGAAGGGCGAGTGGAATGTTAGGATGGGGGTCTCAATGGGGGGCAGTATGACAAGGATCTGGTAAGAAGCAAGGGGATGAACAGGATGAGCAGGATGAAACACGTGTTCTAGGAGGATAAGGATAACGATCATGATGACACATCAGGGAGGGCTCACGAGACGAAGGATGAGCAGCAGGAGAAAGAGCAGCGGCAGGAGACAGTGCGTTCTGTGCTGGTGCCCAAGCGGCGCGCCACTCGAGAGGCGGCGACTGATATCGATCATTCCCCTCGGTTGCGATCACATCTTACCAGCGCGCACGACTGCCCTGCGTCGAAACGAAGGAACTTGGCGAGAGAGAGGACAGGAGGCGAGGCGGAACCCAGCCTGCGCCCGGCAGCGCCCGCACAATCGGCGGCACACCCGATCAGCCAGTGGCCTCCAGCGCTCCAGGGCGCACGGACAGCCGCGCGCGTTTCCGCCCCCCAGTCGACCTTGGCGTCGCCGGCGCGCGCCGCATGCAGCAGTAGGATGCCCCACGCGCGGGGCGGCAGCGCCGCCGCCCAGCCGGCGCACGGCCAGCTTGCCAGCCCCCGCCACCGCCGGGCCCAGCCCCCGCAGCGCCCGCAGGCGAACCAGCCTGGGACGCCTTGCGCCCGCCATGCCTGGCCAGCGAGCAGCGCACGGACCGCCGCCGCCAGCGCAGGCGGCGCAGGTGGGGGAGCGGTTGCAGCAGCGCCGGGCCCGCGGCCGCCAGCGCGTCCTCCTTGCTCTGCGGCAGCTGGCTTCGCTGCGCGGTCCAGCGGGCCTGCCCTCGGTTGCGATCACAACGCGGCGCAGACGCGGGTCGCGCTGGGCCGCGTGCAGGTCGTCTGATGCATTTGATCAAATTTTCTTCGGTGTGTGCCCGTTGGCTAGTGGAGTCCCGAATCGCAGGAGTAGGAGTAGAATAATGATGGGATTGATCGAGGATGACTGAGGTGAAGGGACGCAGGAGGATGAGAAGGAATAGGAGTACCACGTACCGGGGTCGGTTCAGGATACATATATAACTAGATGTATGTATGAATGAATGTATGTATGCATGTATGTATCACAAGACACGCTCCCGTCCAAGTGTCCCCTCATAAGCCCCCCGAAGCAATCCACTAGTAGTAGTAGTAGTAATAGTAGTAGTAGTAGTAGTAGTAGTCGTAGTAGTAGTAGTAGTAGTAGTAGTAGTAGTAGTCGTAGTAGTAGTAGTAGTAGTGGTGGTAGTGGTAGTGGTAGTCGTAGTCGTAGTCGTAGTCGTAGTCGTAGTAGTAGTAGTAGTAGTAGTAGTAGTAGTAGTAGTCGTAGTAGTAGTAGTAGTAGTAGTAGTAGTAGTAGTAGTAGTAGT